AAAAATTTTCCAAAACTTGGTGACTTTAAATAGTATAAATTTATGTATGAATGTCAGAATTCTTAAGTCCATATGGTAGCAGTGCCATGTCCAATCAAACTCTGGAGAACAGCCTTAAAATAGGAAATAGTCATAAAACTTATATAAGAATTTTAGAGAGGTTTATATCTACAATGATTAGGGTAATGTTTATAGATTGAGTGTACATATAAGGTCTTTTCTTTATCATTGTTATTTCTTTATCATAGTTATCATTGGCTGGAAATTGTTCCTTGCTACACTGATGGCCACACCTGGAACCACAGAGTGGGGAGGGTTGTTGTAATTGTCCTAAATACAAGTATGTGAAGCTTTTTTTAGATTCAAAATGTTGTCTACACTTCCCTCCGCCCCTCCCTCTTTTCCTTTTTTCCCTTCCTCCTCCTTTTTCTCTTCCCTCTCCCACCTTGTTTCCTTCATTATTTTTGACCTTCTTTTTCTTCCTCCTTACCTCGCTTCCATTTCTTTCTTCCCTGCTTGGCTTGAGTTAATCTTAAGCATCTATTTCTCAAGGTAACCAGCCTTTTAAGATCTTAACAAAGCTGAAGATAAATAATAATCTAATCTGGTGCTGAGTTGTTTCTTTTYTTTCTTCCTGTTGAAGCAAATAATAATGTGACATTGAAGTAGCAGTAGAAATATAGCCAATCRAATCAACAAATTAGCCATCATAAGCCAGGATTTTCTAAGAGGCTAAGTTTCTCAAGCTGTGCAGGATTTGGCCTTTGTTAACAGCATGTAACTGGTAAGGGAGATGTTATGCTAATGGAGAAATGACAATGACAACAATAATTGCATTGTTGTAAACACATCTTCTCTTATGAATTCCACATGAGTAGTTGTTTTCKTCTTCAGAATGATGAATTTGGTGACTAGCTTATAAATTCCTCATTTGCTAACTTATTAATTCCTTTCCTAAAAGTTTTGGTTTGGACATGGCTATGAGATTGTCATGTCTTTCTTTTGTAAATTAGCACATAGAAATATCAGTTACTTCTTTGCTAATACAAGCAGATTGTAGGGGTTTTTGCATACCTCATCTTTTATCTGTTAAGAAAATTCCAGAAAGAGTTTGCTTTATTATGTTGCTTTTGATTGAGAGGATTCAGCACAGCTGAAAGTTTGTATTTATTAGCTGATGAAATTTATGCAGCGTGTTAAGGTAGCCATTAATGGGATAGGGCCAGAGATTGATGTTAATCGCAAACATGTTTTATTTCAAATTGTAGTATTACGTGATACCTTTAGACTGATTCTGATATCCCTATGTMATTTTTTTTCTCCATTTAGTATTTGGCTAAAAATAATTAATCTGTGAGACCAATTGGGGAAGAATTTGAAGTGTTATGTGCTGTTTTTGTTGGARTGTATAAAGATACTGAGAAATCAGATAGAATGGAAAGATAAAGAGTAAACACTTATTCAGTGGGAAAATTTCTGTTGCATAAGACTGTGAGAATTTTGCTTTCTTTAGGAATCAACTAGGCTTCTTGCAACTCTTAGATGTTAGGATTAATGAAAAATGAAGAGGTGTTGTTTTGTTGTTTTTCTTCTGTTTTGATAGTATGGTCTAARCAAATCTTTATTGTACTATTTTGGCATTTATAAGTAGACTACAAAGTGTGCTAGATTCTTCAGATTGTGGTAGAGAAGAATTTTATACTATGTCTCAGTCAGAACTTTTCAGTGCATTAGTTGGATGTTAGCCTACTATCTTTATTTTGATTTTTGACCCACAGATTTCCTTTTGGATAATCTGGAGGTGTTTATGCCTGCCTTTTCCAATGTAGTTGATTAGTTGTTATGAAAGGGATGCATGCAGTCTTGTGGCTTCAGAGAAAGTAGTGAAGTCTGTATTGAAAAACCATTCTCAATCAGATGATATTAGCTAATTATGTTCTGGTAGGCTATTTATAGACTGGCTCATGGCCAAAGAATTTGGAAACTAACATCAGTTGTCTTTTAGTAGGTAGAATGTAATGCTTGATTGATCCCTGGAGTTTCTTTCTTTTCTCTTTTTCCCTTTTTAAAGATTTATAATAATTTATTCTAAACATATTAATCAAATGTTGGATTTTAAAACCATCTATGTGGCAAAGAATTCTGTTTGCTAAGCMTGGATTAATTTATTAGAGATGATTAGTATGGGTTCAGTGTGGCTTTGCAATGTCCAACAATGATAGAATTTGAATTAAAAAATATTTATTAATTTGTACCATAGCTTCAGGTCTTTTATAAATAAATCTTGAGTCAGGTATCTGAATCATACCAATAAAAAGTTTGCTAATTTATCCTTTTTCTGGAAAGCACATGGTTCCTTGTTTACATAGCTATTCAACAGATACTTTCTGATTACTAATCATGTCCAGTCACATTAAGAATATGAGATATTTAATCATTTTGAAAATAAAGGAGTTGGGATCAAGTGGTTATGTGTAGTGGAGGGTTGGTGGGAATGTGCTTTGAATAGCTCCTATTTTGCAGCATTTTTGTCAGACCAAAATTTCTACTTGGCTGTAAAGAATTGATGAAGGACTATTTCAGGTTTTACCAAGAATGACCAATTGTGTCTTAGTTTCTTCAGAAGGTATGATATGTGACATAAGTCTCTATTATTGAATTTCATTCAGAAAGCAAACCTGTTAATAAGATTGGGAATACATTCAAACAGTTCATTTTTTAACATGATTTTTTTGGGGGGTGGRGGCGGTACTAGGTATATAATTCAGTTCCTTGAACACGCTAGGCAAGCRTTCTACCACTGAGCTACATGGTTAGCCTAGGATATTTTTAAATAAATACTGAGATGACTGTCAGGAGATGTGATTTAGACTTTGCCCTGCCCTCATTTAACTCATTGACCTTGAACAAATTTCTTGACCTTTTCAAGCCTCACTTTTCTCAATAATAAAATGAGTGCATTGGGATAGTTATCTTTGACATCTATTTTTGTTTAAAAATTCTGCAGTTTTATTTAAGGCAAGAACATTTTCCTAAGTCTTCCCTTTCTATTGATGCTTTGGGATTTGACATTTTGAAAGAAAGCTATCATTGTGGTTAAATTTGGTTTTAACTACATTGAAGATAGGTTGTAAATTTTTKACTTTATTTTCTTGAATAAAAATTTCAGACTATGTATATGTAGTATTTGGTTATTCCTGTATTTTTCTTTTGATAACTGGGCAGCCTGATATGCCACTTTGAAGTAAGCAGAGTAGAGCTGATTGATCTAATTGTAGCATACTCTATCCTAGACTAGCCTAAAGAAAGTTGGAAGGTTGTCTTAGAAATAATTTAATCCAACTCTCTTACTTAACAGGTAAAGAAATATGACCAAAAAATGTTTGTTAATTTATATGTATAACAAATCAGAAAAAGAACATTAACTATAATCTTATTTGTTCACCCATCCAACATGTATATGAACCTAAATTCAAAATCATCTTCCACATGTTTTAATATTCTTATTTTGATTTAAAGTAGCTCTGTCTCTCTTTGAAAAATAAAATTATTTTCTCATTTCTCACATATGTTTGGCCTTCAAATCCTACCCATTCTATTTTCTTTGTTCAGTCCTTATTTATTAAGCTGACACTATAAATAAAGCACCATAATATATATATATTCAATATCAAGTAAAACTTTACCTTCTCTAACTAAACATGTGTCAGACTTTGAAATATTTCTGATATCTGTCTTTTTCTCATCTTATCAAGAGCCATAGTGTTAGAGTACTATCATTTTCTCTCCTAATATAGTATGTGTGTGTGAGGGCGTGGTGGTGTAGGCAGTGATAAGTTAATGTAAAACATTCAGTAATGATAGTTTCTATGAAAAAAATGAAGTACAATTTGTGGATAATGATGAATGTTTATTATTTTACATAAAATTTCTGATTTGTCTGAAAGTTTAAAAGGATTGTCTTGGCTACTTTACTAGAGAGATAATGGAATTTCAGCAACAAGAGAGCATTGTAGTAATCCTGGTAAAGAATGCTCATGGTGCAACTAGAGAAGTAGCAGTGAAAATCTTACAAAGTGCTCAGACACTGGGTCATCTGATGGTTATAATATGTTTAAATAAATTAATTAAGGGAACAAATATTTGTAAAGGGTTTAGAACAATGCCATGTTATTAAAGAGTTTCYTAAGGAATTTAAAATGAAAATCAAGACAACAAGATTTTTGGGCCGGGGATGTGGCTCAAGCGGTAGCGCGCTCACCTGGCATGCGTGCGAAGCAGGTTAGATCCTCAGCACCACATACAAACAAAGATGTTGTGTCCGAGGATAACTAAAAAATAAATATTAAAATTCTCTCTCTCTCTCTCTCTCTCTCTCTCTCTCTCTCTCTAAAAAAAAGACAACAAGATTTTATAAAGAATTGTAGCACATGGTTTGTGAGAGAAAAAGAAGAGAAATTAGAAATGATTTCGAGATTTTTTGTCTGAGCATGGGAAGATTTATAGAGGAAAACCAGGATTTTGACTTTGAACTTCTTAACTTTCAGATTCTTTTTAGATACCCATGTAATTAGGTTAGTAGAGAAATAAATTTGGCAGTCAGCCATGACAGAGTTTGGGAATATATTGTAAGGAGTTACAGATAAATATTATTTAAGGTAATAGAATTAAGATTAATTAGTGTTTTAAAAAGAGGTCTGATCACCAGGAAACGCCTACATTTAGAAGTAGGCACAACTTGTGCAACTTGCCAGGGGAAACACTATTACCTGTTTTATTTAACCTCCCAGCACAGTTTTCTGGTTTTCTCTTTTCAGTTATTTGCTTTCAATTCCTCATGGCCTTGTGCTTCCCAGTACTCTTAAGTAGAACTTTTATTTCCTTTGCAGCATTAGAACTCTACAAACTGCCTGATCATTCACAGAAGCAAAAGTCAAGGGTTTTATAGTTATTTTGAAAACAAAAGAGAAGAACAAATCATGATTTTTTTTTTCTTTCAGGAAAAACATAAACAAGAACTGGAAGACATGAGAAAAGCTGGTCATGAAGCCCTTAGCATTATTGTGGATGAATATAAGGTAGAGGTTTTAGAATTTCTTTGTTTATTCTTTTAAACTTGAAAAACTTCAGTAAAAATTTTACACACATAAATCATGTGCAAACATACAAAAATTGTACACTTATAGTGAAGCATATTTGGTATATCATTCCTTTCAGTTGATCAATCAATGTCCATTGCAACATACTTGGTGGATTACAAGATAATGCTAGATATTGCACTGTATTGGTGAAACTTAGTCTATTTGAAAATATGATATCAGCAGGTGAAGAAATCTGAATACAAAATACTGTAGAATTCATTCCTATGTTATCTATTTTGTCTCTGTGGAACAAAATGAGGAAAAGAAAGTGGCAAGGAGACTGGATATAATGAAGGTATAAAGTAGATCAGTAGAAAAATGAGAATAAGAGGGAAGGAGGAAGAAACGGATCGGGATAGAAATATGGAATGAATTTAACAATAGCGTGATATAATTGTATATAAAGTACTAAAAAGGATTTCACCTATATACACATGTAGAAAATACTGATCTAAAATAAATAAATAAGGGAATGAAAGGAAGATCAATAGAGGAGAGGAGAAAGAATAACAAGAGAGAGGAGGGAAGGGAAGTTGGAGAATGGGGATTGAAATCAAATTCCTCATATGTATTATTTTGTCAGATGAACCTAAATTCTACGTATAATTGTAATGCTTTAATTACAAATTTTAAAAACCCAGTACCAGTACAACCAATACTAGAAACAAGAAAATCTTAATTTTAATTAAAAACAAAACATAACAAACAGATGCCAATCTTCAGCTAATACTGATGTTAGAATTATCTGACAAGAATTTTAAGGTTCTGACAAGGGTGGCATCCTTCATAAAAAATGTTTTAACAAGAAATTACGTACATCACAACAGAAATGGAAAAACAAAAATCTCAGAAAGCTTTAGCAAAATAATAGATTATCTAAAGAAGCATCAAATGGAAATTTTAGAAGTAGAAAATGCATTTAACAGAATTTTTAAAAATCTGGGATGGTTTAACAGCAGATTGTAGAATAACAAAAAGAAAAGAATGTATAAATTTGAAAATAAAGAATAGAAATCCCTAACTTGAAAATAGAGAACAGAAAAAAGTCTGAAAACAAATGAGTAGGGATTTATGAATCTGTGGGATTACAAGAAATGTTCTAAAATTTGTTTTCATTAAATGAGTCCTGAAAGAAGAGGGTGGAGTTTGAAAAAAAAATTTAGTTACAGTAGCTGAAAATTCCCCAAATATGGCAGAATATATAATACTATATATTCAAGATACCAAGTGAATTCCAAATATGCTAACAAAAACAAAAGAGCAAAGAAAAGATCTTTGCTAAGGTACATTGTTATGGTTAATTAACTATGTCAACTTGACTGGGCCAGGTTGCTCAGCTATTTTGTCACTTCTGGGATGGGGATGTTTCCACAAGGGTGTTTTCTGGGGGGATAAGATTACCATTTAACTCTGTGGACTTAGAGTAAAGCAGATTGTCTTCCATGATGTGGATTGGCAGCATTCAATTATTTGAAGATCAAAGATCAGTTTTCCCCAAGCAAACAAGTGTCTGCCAACAGACTAACTTGAACTGCATCATTAGCTCTTCCTTAGGTCTGCATCCTGACAKCCTTTTGACTTCAACTAGAACATCTGTCCATCTTTGCAAATTTTGAACTTGTTAGACTCCATAATTTCATAAGCCAACTCCTTAAAAACAGACCTCTATCTTTGTACACATCCTATTGATTCTGTTTCTCTGGAGACTCTGAGCCAGACTTCTCCAAACTAAATAGAAATCAGTCTTGGAAAAGAGAGAATAAATTTACATTTTTACCAATGGGAGAAAAGCAATTAGAAAGATGGTAGAGTTTTCACCAGAAGAAATGGAAGAACTATCAATTATTGGGGGGGGGGGAGAAACTGTTAACCCAGAATTCTATATATGGTGAAAATATACTTCAGRAATAAGTAGTCGTTGTGGGGAGTCAACATATTCTCAGATGAAGGAAAACAGAATTTATCACAGCAGACCTACCTTTAAAAAATGGCTAAAGGAAATTGTTGCAACAAAAAAAGGAAATGATGAAGGAATCCTGGAACATAAAAGAACAAAGGGAAATGGAAAAACATGGGTAAACATAATAGACTTTCCTTTTGAGTTTTCTAAATTATGTTTTTTGCAGCAGAACTTCTAACAGTGTCTGATATAGTTCTGTAATCTTGGAGACATTTGAATGTAGTTCAGACATGTATTTTAGAGATTTTGATTTATTATGTAGTAGAAATGCTTTTCTCCATATATTATAAATATCCAAGCATCTAAAGTAATGCCTAGCAGTGATCAGTACAAAATAAAATTTAATTAAAAGCCAACCTTAATGACATACAATAGTAACCGGTAGAATTTGGGAAGGAAAGGAATAGAATAGATAAAGGAACTCTGGAGTCCATCAGGGAATGCCTTATACACACATTGAAATGACACWTTTAACTCCATTAATATGTAYAGTTCATATATATTAATAAAAATAATATACATTTTAAAAATGAAAATAATTTAGTTATTGATATGGTATTTTTTWAAAATATGGGCATTTAAAGTTACAAATTTACTCCTGAACTATACTATATTTCATCCTGTAATTTGTGCTGTTATATTGTTTCCATTTTTATTCATGTTAAATATTTTCTAATATTCCTTGCAATTTCTTTGCTGACCCATTAGTTCTTTAGAAATGTGTTGTTTAATTTCCACAGAAATTTCCCCAATTTCTGGCTATGATTGATTTCACTTTAATTTCATTGTGGTTGGAGAACTTATTTTTGGTAACTTCAGTTTTTTAAAATTTAGTGAGGATCATTTTATGAGCTAGTTTATAATCTATCCTGTGGAATTTCCATGTGCACTTGAGAAGAATGAATATTCTACTACTGCTGGGTTTAGTGAGGTATTCTCTCTATGTCTCTAGGTGGAATTGGTTTATAGTGCTGTTTCAGTCTCCTATATGCCATTGATAATTTACCTAGTTTTCCTATCCATTATTCAACGTGGGGTATTTAAATGTCTGAGTATTATTATTATTGAATTATTTGTTTCCTTTCAATTTCATTAGTTTTTGCTTCTTGTGCTTATTTTGGAAATGTTCTAATTATACGTTTGCATTTTTATGTCTTCATTATACTTTGACGTTTTTGCTATGATGTTTTTTAATCTAAGAAGTTGTTTTGTTATACTTTTTTTTCTTATAATGGTAAAGCCCCTTTATCTCTCTTTTGGTTGCTATTTGTATGGTATATGTTCCCCATATTGTTACTTTGAAACCATTTATGTCTTTGAATATAAAGTTTATCTTATGCACAAATTTTATGTGTGTGTGTATATAGTTTTATGCACTTTCTTTTTAAATAAGTAAGAGACAAAAGAAGAAGAAAGGTCTAATTATGTTGTCATTTAAAATTACTTTCGTAATTAACTTTTTTGGTTCCCCTCCCCTTTTTTTCCTTTTTTGTGGTACTGGGGATTGAACCCATGTGTGCTCTACCACTGAGCAATATCCCCAGTCCTTTTTAATTKTATTTTGAGACAGGGTCTCTTGCTGAGTTGCTGAGGTGGGCCTATAACTGTGATCCTCCTGGCTCAGCCTCACAAGTAGCAGGGATAAAAGGATTCACCACTGCACCCAGTGGCCTGCTTTATTTTTGCATATGGAATGGTTTGGTGTTGCTTGCATTAGTCTGAAGAGTATTTAAAGACTCTCTTAAACACATTTTTCCCCCCTCTTTACCTGATTTCCCTGCTTAGCTTCTAACTTATTTTTTTTGTATTTTTTTTATACCATGCTATTAGCTCCTATCATCTACAAAATGATTGATCTATTGTTTTTGATTGTGCCCTGGAGCATACATTGCTCCATATTCTGATCCAATTGCAATCATCCCCCATGGCAAGGGCAGTTTGTACCCAGTATTCGAGGCTTTCTGTAAGTCTTCCTTATTAGAGAACTGTAATACTGTGTGTAGGTGCCAGAAGACTAAGATGGTTATTCGCTTATTCTTGATTTCCTTACCCTTATCTAACTTTTAGAACGGGAGCTATAATTAAGGGGAAAGAGGACAAGTACTGCATCTGTCATATGGCTGCTGTTGCCATTCCAGAAGTCCTACCACCCTCTTCTTATGTCTTTTAATCCAAATTAAAGTAGTAGTTACTTTGTGTATATATATGTATGTGTGTGTGTGTGTGTGTGTGTGTGTGTGTGTATAAAACCTTCATTTAAAAATGACTATAATGGGGATAATGAAGATCTTGAGTTAGGACATTATTTGTACTTTTACTATATCCATACTAGTTAAAGATTTGTGTACATCCTTTTCTCATATAAGAGATCCTCAGCCATTGGATTTTTTTTTTTTTTTTTTTTTTTTGGTGGAGAGGATACCAGGGATTGAACTCAGGAGAATTCGACCCCTGAGCCACATCCCCAGCCCTATTTTGTATTTTATTTAGAGACAGAGTTTTAGTGAGTTGCTTAGYACCTCACTTTTTCCGACTCAGGCTTTGAACTTGAAATCCTCATGCCTCAGCCTCCCAAACTCCTGGGATTACAGGCATGCATGTGCCACTGTGTCTGGCTAACCACCAGATCTTTACTGATGACTTTTCTATTTTTTTTAAAGTATGGGACTTTTTAAAAATAATTTTCATTTTTTAAAAGTAAATTGTACATTACAGACAAAACAAAACAAAAAAACAAAGACACAAGCAAAGAACAAAGTCATCCAGTCACAAGAAGCTTAGTTGGATGTGTCCCTCTAGGTTTGTGCATATATACACAATATCCCATTTTGTATGTTTGAGATTGTGGTGTATATCATGCTTTTCCACACATCATGAATATTCACCAATTCAAAATCCTGAAGCTACATGAGTATTTTTTGATAACCAAGAATACACYACACCAGCTCAATCTGTTATCATTTCTGAGGACAAAAAT